AGTTCTGAGAGGCATGCATATAATTGCAGCAGTATACATGGTGAGATGAGTAAGAAAATAATTTGGAGTAGCTGGGAGTGGTTGTTCATACACATAATCCCAGCTACTCAGGAGGTTGAGTCAGGAGGATTGTTTGAGCCCAGGAGTTCAAGGCTGCAGTGAGTTATGATTATGCCACTGCATGCTAGTCTGGGTGACAGGGTGAGACCCAGTCTCTAAAAAATAGAATAAAATTTGGAATCTTGCATAAAACTTCCTTCAGTGTCATTACATCAGGACCCTTTAGTAATTAAGGAAATCCTTTTGTAAGTACATTTGCTAATAGGTGATTGAAGGTGAATCAATTGAATATCAAGATTGAGTAAGGCATTTATAGCAAAACCAATTTAGTTCCTAGAATGGTGAAAGAAAATATCAAATCCTATTTTTATCTCAGTAAAAAGAAATAATTTGAGTTTATTTTAGCAATTCGTTTTACCTGAATCATTGCAGGCATCATCCATTACTTTCCATGCATGTTTACATCCATTTGTATCATTTAGACATTGCTCTCTTAAATACGTGCAATCACTGGTTTGGGAAGTGTATTCATTTTCCAAGCTTAGCCCCATAGCTTGAAAAACAACAACAAAACAAGTTTGTAATATTATAGTTTGGCAGCTGTTTTCCCTGCATCTAAGTTACTAATAATAAAGAGCAGAATTATGGAAAATAAGATGTGGTAAAATTACTATAAGGCTGGAATGAATCTTAACCTCCCCTCTGGCTATAGATCTATATTTATCCTATGCAAGATTCTTAAATGACTAGTTTATATTTGCTCTCTTTGCTTTCTCACTGCCCATTCATTCCTCCACTTATAATTTATTTTTATGACTATTGTTCCATTGAAACAGCTCTTATAAAATGTCCTTAATCACATCCTTAATGTCACATTTAATAGTTTTAAGATTTATCTCATCTACTTTTAACATTTGTCATTTTGTTGATGTTTTTGCTCTTGAAATTCTCTCTTTGTCAACTCAAACTTCTAGTCCTCTTCATATTTATCCACTTGATATTTTCTGGCTATAGTTAGAATTCTTCCCAAAATCCTCTTACTCTTCTTTTAAAGAGTATTTTTAGCCTCGGTTCTGTCCTCAGACCTCCCCCGTTTTCATTTCACACATTCTCTGTGGATAATTCCATGTTATACCCTCCAACCTACCTAATGCACTATTCCAGTCCTGTAGTGTCTCTGTTTATTTCTTTTGGGTGGTTCCTTATACCATGGCTTTCATTTTCCTCCCCATGTGCAATTTGGAAGTTCTCAAGCATTTAGTTTCCCGAATATTCCATGCTGTCTTATACCTCTGAGCATTTACTATCTTGTCCCTGGTAAACACTCCCTTTCTTTTTCTTCAGGAATAACTCTTCTTGTCCTTTAATACTCAACACAATCATTACCTATTTTAAGGAAACTTTCCCTGAATTCTATACCCTCTTTTCCCACACCCAAATTGAATTTGACATCCCTCACCTGTTTATCTAGAACTCTGAGGATTCCCCAGGTATAGAATTTACTGCTCTGTAGTCTGTGTATTCATGTGCTTGTGTTCACCACTAAATTTTACGGCTTTACTGGGCAGGCATTCAGGGTAATTTATAATTGTATTTCCATCATCAAACACAATGATGCATTATAGGTATTCAATAAATGTATGTTGACTTATGCCAAACATATTAGTTGTTTATAGATGAGTTATATATAAATAACTGATAATATATAATATAAAATAACACCTTCCAGGTATTTACAAGTTATTTTTAGTGAAATACAAAATGATCCAGCAAGTTTTCTAAAAACAATAAAGAAAATAGCAATGCTAATTGAGCATGTTATACAAGTTAGTCAAATTGATTCTGCACACTGACGCTAGCTTAATCAATTTATTAAAATATGGGAATCACAATTGAGTTATAGAAATAGTTATATTAACTGTAATCAAGAGACCTCAAGCTATGTCTTAATCAGAGCCAAATCATTTGAATTTTTTAAAAGATGATGTTAATTATGAATCACCTATGACAACCTAGTTATAGGTTTCAAATAAGGCCTTGAAAACTTTTCTTTTATCTTACCTCTTTCCAAACCTTGTCTCCTAAGGAGAATCCAAGACAATTGATAGGACCATGTGTACTACTTGCTGGGTCACTGCATTTGGAGATTAGGCCCATGGGTGTGGCTTGGTCACATTTTTCTTGTTGAGGGCTGAAGTGAAAATTGACATATCAACTTTCTGTTTTTTCAGGTGTTCATGGACAATTTCATCTAGTCAAGCTCCTGTGCTTCTAAGTTGGCAAGCCCAGAGAAAGAGAAAGAGGGCTCTTTGAATCCTGGCCCAAAGTTACCTGGTCAAATTCAGTTTTCCAAAGACCCTGAAATAAGGAATTTCATGTCATAAACTGAATTTATAAGAAACTGGCATTTTATGTGCCATTGATCATTGTATTTTGTGAAAATCTGTCTCAAAAAACTTGTAACTGATGGTCTCCTGGACATATCATCAAAACTTCACTGGTAACTCAGAGTAATCATTTATGAATTTTACATATCTTGTCCAAATATGTTTCACTTCCTCTTACATTTTCAATTTTTGGTTGAATAATCCACTTGATTGATTATTTCACATAATTTTCTACACCTTTCATTCAGATAAAATATTGACTCAATTAAGAAAATCATCTCAATGATTTGGCCCATAAGAACCAAAAATACAACTTTACCTTTCCAAAATTTGCCTTTTTTATTCCTGACTATGATCTGTGGCTCTGTAATCAACCTGAATTTTTCAAAGATTTTCCTGAAATGCTCAGTGAAAAACAGATTCTATTTTAAAATTAATAAGATGGAGAATGCTGCACCTTATATCACCTTCTTAAAGATGTATAAGGCTCATTAGCCAATTAAATGCTCTGAGTTTTAAAATTTCACTATTTTCACATTTCTGTGGCAAAAAAAAAATGTCTCTTATCACAAGATCTATTTAGGTGATGTTGAACAAGTATCCTGAAGAATGCAGTATGGAAAATATTGATACAAACTGTCAAATAGTACAATTTTGGTCCTAACGATGTTAGAAGTTATTTCCCTCCTTCATGCAATCTGTTGTCAAGATGCCCCTAATCCTTGCTTGGGTGAGGCAAAGACATAAAGTGTAACCTTAATGTTTGTACCCTCATAATACCCTGAAATAAAAAAA